TCCCCGCTGAGCCTGCAGCCTCCCCGTCCCGGACCCACCACCAGCAGCTGCCCATCCTCCTGGGCCTGCCCAAAGCTATCGTGTCACTGAAGCGTAGGCTTGAGATGTTGAATGGCACCAAAGCAAGGGGGTGGGGGGGATGTGCCAGGCCTCGGCGGCTCCGAGGCAGCCCCAGCACCTGGCAGCTGCCGGAAAACCCAGAAGAACATGGGGGTGGCCACAGCTGAGGCAGGTGGGCTCCACGCCACAGCAGCCCCCAGGGGATAGCTGGGATGCCTCGGGAAAACCCAAGCGTGCCACGCCAGCAGCAGCGCTGCTTTGCAGCAGCCAGCCCGGCACTCCTGCCGGAGAGGTGCCAGCCTGAGCCTCCTGGCACCCGCACCGAGCTCCGCCGGTGACACCGGTGGCCAAGTCCTGGCTGAACCGAGCCAGCCTAAGCCCCTTCCATCTAAGTTATGCAAAGCTGCTCAGCAGAAAGGCTGAGCTTCAGCAGATGGTGTTTCCCCCTCCACGCTCAGGAAGCTCTCTGCGCCTCACACCCCCGCAGGGAGGACGATGCCTCCTGCTCGGCCAGAGCACACGCTGCCTGTCCTTCCCACTGGCAATCTTGCCTTTGTCACGCTAACCCCCCCGCTTGCTTCACCCTCCTGCTGGTCACCACTTCCCAGACTCTTCCAGTGTCTCCTATCAGCCATCCCATCTTCACTCCTGCATCCCCTGCCGTCAGCTTTGGCCCTTTGCCATGTATTAACACGGTGGAGAGTTTTTACTGCTGCGGTCACGGAGCCTTTTAACTCCCCTTCCTGGGGTTGTGGGACTGTGGGTTTTGGGGCCAGCAAAGGGAAGTCTTTCACTCGCTTTCAGCTTTCATTATCCTCCGTCAGCCGGCACCACCAGCGGCCGCTCTGCGGCCAGGGGAGCCCTGTGGGACACCGTCCCCTGCTCGAACACAGCAAGCACCGCCCAGTCGTCGGCATCCAGGCAACCACTAATTTTCAGGTCAGCAATTAACGCTGTCCATCAGAGCGATGTCCGACTGCGAGACACCCCAGGCCAGGTGCCAGGTCCACTGTTTTTAAGCCCTCGGAGGAGGTCTTGGTTACTGGCTGTGGCAGAGGTCCGGCAAACACTCCAGCATGGAGG